AAAAATTTTGCCACTTCTTCTATTTTTTTACCTTGTTAAGAATGTGTTAGCAAAAACAATAGGTGCAGTCATGATCGAAGAGTCATAACAATAAGTCTTTGATATTTTTCACCAATCCAAGGACATATTTATTAATTAAACCTGTGGCTCTTCATATCACTTCATTTCTCGATAATCTCGATCCGACAGTCGACTATTGGATATTGCATCTTGATTAAAAATCAAAATATGCAAAACGTGTTTCCTTCATGTCTGTCGTTATTCTTCGTTCGCTCCAGCTCATCAGTCTACTCTGATGTTATCCAGACTTTATTTTCAATATCTTTGACACCTCTCTCGCAGAGCAAAATAGTGTAAAAGAAATGTTTCTAGCTCAAGTCTGGAACGTAATAAACTTGTTGATTAATTATATTTTATTTAAATTTGTTTTTCTGAAAGTTCGACGATATTTTTCTACGCACATTTTTCTCCATTTGCTTTATAGTCTTCGTGATGTTGAAATTGTCTTTCGAAAGACAAAAAATTGGTCAACAGCTCTTCCTTCTTTTGATCCATATTTGAATACATTTCGCAATGATACATTACTAACAGTTAATCCGAACTTCTTAGCAAATAATGCTGAATTCAATACAAGAACCAAATTCTAGGTTTTGGACTATCAAGCAACAATGAAAGCGAATGTAACTGAACGACATATGCCCATAGATACGTGAAAAACCAGTTTTTGGTCACGAAATGAACAGCATCAATAGTATGTTATTGAAGTCTGAAAAATGCACGACCATGTTTCTTCTTTAAATTTATAACAGAAAACGGTTTGTTTGGTTTTCAAGCAAGACAAATATGAACTTTAGGATCACATAAACTATAGCCCGAAACCGATCAAGAAAGAAAAACGTGATTGTCTTGATTCATTTATATGAAAAAAAAATCGATAATCACATATTATGTGTTTGATAATCAACTAAAACTTATCTTAACAATGGTCCGGTATGAACTCAGACAGTTCATAACGTTGCCAACGTTCTAGAATAATCCGTTTTTCATCAGTACAACATAATTGGTTCATTACATTTTGAAAACGAAAGCAAACTTGGAAATATATAAGAAATACTATTTTTGTAGCGTTGACATTTTAAAATGTCATTATAAGAAGAAAATCACAAACATAAACTATTTATATGGAGAGATGAAGTTATTGCAAGTTTCAAGTCAAAACTCGAAAATTGATTTTCAAGGTGATTTAAAAAAAGAGAACATTACTTTTCTGAAAGTGCTGTAAAAGCTATATATATTTGTAGAAAGTTTATGTGAACAGTCAAACCATTCTAGATTATATCGTCACTCATTAGCATTCATCTAATGAATATAGTCTCGATAAAAAAAGCAATTATAATAGAGGAAATACCACTTGTATGCTACAAAAAAAACATATCATGAAGAGAAGTTCCACATAAAGACATTGTTGTTCTTAACCAATCAATCTATCTCATAATTATATCATCCAAACTCAAGGAAATTATGTTTTGTGCTAAAAAACTACTACGGTATAAGACTGTTTGTTTCCTTGAAGTTTTCTCACACTGTCAATGATCAAGTCACTTAGTTGAAAATAATGGAATTTTAAGTATTTTACGATTTTATTTCAGTTGCTATATTTGAAAGGGATGAAATCAATAAGAAAAAGAAATTTACAAAGTTTCGTAAAATTCTATTTTTACTGTTCTATTTTATTCATCTATGGTTCTATCGTTATCTAACAACATTAGTATTCATCACACAAGTAAACGAGAGGTACAAAAATAGCAGACGACTGTGCCAACTAGAATTTGCATCTGAGTCTTTTACTCAGCAAGCAATGATGATAACCGATACGCCATTAATACTTGGAATGACGTGTCTAGATGGTGTGGGTGTCGATGTGGGCGGACAGACACTACATCCGCACCCTCTTTTTCCAGTTGTTATCGAGAATGAAAGCGAAGTGAAGTCTCTCCCACCCAAAACAAAACACTCGCTTACTGTTGCACAAAAAAAGTTTTGTCTAAAATGTTTTCATTTATACTCCATTACCCAATAGATGTCTTTGATCAAAAGTAATTATGTCACAAGGATAAGAATAGCCTGTTATGCTATCATATTATCATTTATCTGCTCAAAAATCAGAAACTGCGTTATTCGGAATATTGATAAATGTATTCCAGTCATTTTAATTTCAAGAAACGTTCTGCAATGTTCTAGAACCTCCTAAGCCTTGTTATTAATATCGTGCAGCACCTTTAATCCTGATTGCTGAGGTCTGTCATTCGTAGGGGGCGAAGCGCAAAAACTCTAATTTAAACATTCACTCGTGTATATTTTCTTCGGCAATATACTTGAGTTTCACAAAATAGAATTTGGAATAGTTAAGGGTGCGGACTTAGGTATGTGTCTTTTTTGTACCCACACCCACATTCTGTTAATTTACAAAACTGATATAGACAACATGAGATTGTTCAATATCAAATCGAACAAACAAGTTACGTTAATGAATGGTAAAGATTACTTACAATGATTATATGAATCGTTAGAAGAAAAACAACAAACACACTATGAAGAGAAGCGCTAATCGAAAGCTTTTATTTTTCCCTACAGAGAACATGATTATCAATAGGATTCAAGTAAGATTCACTGATTGGCAAGTCAGATGATGAGACCAGGAGCTGTTTTGTTAGTATTATGCAGAAAAACATTTACAGCTCCAATGACATTGCCATATTGCGAATCTTTGCCGCGAATCGGAAAAACATTAACGAATGCCAAGAGACAATTTCCGTTCGGTCGTTCACAGATCACATCAGCATTTCGTACTGTAGCTTCGTTGTTGATTACTACAGATGGCGGTGCATGCTGATGTAGCATAATTTCACCCGACGGATATCAAAGGACATGCACACCACAGTATTTTTCGCTTGTTTTGAGTGATGGTGTACGACCTCATGCTTCTATGGCTGCCTTATTGCAACTGATGAGTAGACCATCTTTTTCGAGAACATAAATACCGACTGGAATATCATCTATTGCACTTTGATCGGCTAGTAAACCATGTGGAACTAGATGGCCATCCTTGATTTCGCCTCAGAATTCTAAATCATCGAGTGATCCCGATGAAATATCCGATTTTAATTTGGTGAACGGTGGCATTTTTTAGCAGTCTTCGTGAAAAGACAAAAGTATTTGACTGAGTTCCTGTTCGAATAAGAAATAAACTTATGATTAGTGATGATCTGCCTGAATACAGAAAATAACGTTTGTTCTAAAATGAGAAAAAGATTGTATGTATCGTTTCTTATATAAATCTTGCTGAGGCCGTACAGTACAAATCGAAAAATAGAAGCAAAATATCGATAACTCTTTACTGTTTCTATCACATATAGCGCACAATGATAAAACTGACTTTTTTTAGTTTGTATTCTCTTTTCTTTTTGTAATATTCCTAAATGTTAACAGGGAACATAATAATAAATCGAAAGATAGGAAGGAAAGAAAAAGAAACAAGAGACAAACAATATAATGAAGAAATAGAGTGAATGAAACCAATCCCACAGAAAAGGACGAGCTAGAAGGGATGATCAAAACTATACATGTCTATTCGACATGAGTGGACTATTCTGGCTTCTGAAAAACAGTGCTACGGGGAGAAGATGTCATTCTGCAAGAAGTTAATTGAAGAATTCTAACAAAGCCAGGAGTAGTGAATGGTATTTGACCTTCAATTTCCTGACCCACTTTATCGAAAAGAATTGATCAACACCGTCTTCAGCCAGTTTATAATAATCATTCCAAGAAAAAAATACGGCTTACAAAAACAGTGAAGAGTCGAAATCAGATAAGGATATATTTTTTAATCTCTTCAAAACACATCGCTTAACTCAGTTTTCGAATAGATCTTCACGAGTAAATGAGAAAGTAAACGAAGCCATATCTTCTCGATATCTCTTTAAGCAGAGTACTGTCAATGTTCTTCAGGCATCTGTACGCAGTGAGCTTTAACAACAGTTTACTAGTCTAAGTAAATCCAATATACTTAAAGGAGTTTACTATCACAATCTTCTGATCGAATATGTAAATTTCAACTATAGGCATTTTAATTTGAGAATAAAAAACCTACAATACAGCTTTAGCTAAATATTATACTTTACATTTCATCCTTTCCAACAGAAAGATTCATTTTTAATTTTAGTGAAAACATTTTAAAAGGATGAAATACGAGATCAATGTTTGGATATTTCGGCAATATATTAAGACATCTTGACTGAGTTCCCAATTTCTTTCGCTTTTGGTCAATTTTATTCTTTTTTATTATTGTTTTCACATAGTTCAATTCGAAATAAAGAAAAACATTCATCCATTAATGACCGAATTCAACCATGTAAAGTCATTAAAAAAAATTGGTCTAACTTAGCAGACATCCCATCATAAGGTGAAAATGACAGACTAATATTACTTTTTTATCGATATATGAAGATCTCTTCGAGGAAAAGTCGATGATAAGTGTTTAAGAAGAGATTGAGCATCCGATGCTTATTTATTCTCCAACTAATGGCTCTTCTTGAAGAATCATTTCTCGATTTATTATTTCCATATGAAATTATTACTTCATTTGTTGCTAGAATCGTTTATTTTTGTGAAAAAATCTGACTTTCAAAAAAACGAAAACTAAGTAATTTTTTGTTATTGATAGAAAGTTTTAAAATCTGCAATTCTTTCATAATGATCAATAATAACAATGTTCAAATACTTTTCTCTCTTTTATTCTAGAAATTTATTTTTTAACCGACAGATATCATTAAATGAAAAACCTAGAAAATTAAATCGAACGACAGTGCATATCTCGATTGACATATTTGTTACAAAATTCTCTATATTTAATATTAAATATGTATAAAATAAATAAAATTATGTTCTCTTGAATATGGTGCTTATTGAACGTTGAATAAAGTGTTTATGTAAAAAACTGATTATCGATATTTTTTAGTTTTTGAATTGAATCGATTCTTGGATTTGTCAACATTGGTTTTTTTGGGTATGAAATGAAGATATCTTGGTTGAACATATTTTCTCTGTTGCTTTTGTTTATTATCGTCATTTTTCAATATTGACATACTGAGTATTTGAAGAAAATAATTTAGATGAATTACGTTCGATAACAACAGTTTATCATCAGATTGAATAGTACAGACTTCGGAATGAAGCGTATTTTCTTCTGTTGATATATAGACAGCTTTCCAAGCAAATGCATTTGAAACGAATTCCGGAGGACATAAATCACCGTCGGATATATAAATCGAAGAATTGATCTTTTTATTTTCGGCTACTTGTTGAATAGTGGGCAATTGAAATTGTTGTTCTTTTAAGAATAAAGAAAAACAACATTTACTCACTACTTTTAATGTGTGATGACAGAATCGCGAACTGAAAGCTGTTGAAGTAGAAAGAATAAGCAATACAAGAGAGAAAATATTATTCAATGTTCGATTATCATCTAAATTGTATTCATTCTTGTTAAGAGCAATAATGAACTCGGCAGCTTTGTTTCGCATTTCTGACAGATTTGCACGATCATATTGAATAAGTCTGTCTCTATTATCATTATTAATAGGTGTTGATAGCATTAAATATTCGTCTTTAAAAAGAGGAATAGAGAATAAGCTAACACCGAGATAATCAAACAATTCGAGTATATGCAATACATTTTCATGTTCTTCAAGTTTATTAAATAGATCATAAGCTGTTTTTGAACTAATAGAATCAAGAATAATCATAAACCACTTATAATCAATCGAAGAATTCAATAGATATTCACCATTTTCACTTTGTGCAGATAAAAACTTATTTGTAGAATTAACAAGAGTAGATAAATAAGGTAAATCATCGAGTTGTTGTTGATTGAGATAAACATATTTATTAGAATTGTCAAAACGAAATGCATACATTACTTCTTTATTTGCTTGACTAATGTCAGCTGTTTTCATCATCTTTCGCAACGTCTGAGTAATATTTTTCTTATCAATAACAAATTTGTCGGCAATAACACGAGAAAGAAAAAAAAACATGCTTACTTCCTCAGTCGTTCTCCGAATAATGACTCACATACATGGTGCTTTTGCCCAATAGACTTCATTTATGAAGCTCTCATGAATCAGGCAGTGAAAGTCTACAAATATTTTTTCTTTTATTGGCTGTATAATTAATGGTCATCATTTCATTTGATATTCTTTCTTTATACAGTAGCTCCGAAAGTTGATCATAGAGATTTCATTTGGAATTTTTTCCGTAATGGTGACCCGCATAAATGATTTAAATACTGGTTTGAATAGAGAAAACTGTCAACAACGACGATCTGAGGAAAATAGAATCTTCACGATATTTCGAAAATCCATGATCTTCAGAAAACCGTAAACCTAGTTTTTCAGTAATCAGAGACCAAAAGAACCTTTTTGAGTATACTGGGCGACAGCATAACTGACTCTCTGCAAAATGAGATATCTTCGGGCTCTCGACGACATTTTTTCATCGATATCAAGAAACGTTGAAAAATTGTTTTTCGTCATTTCCTGAGGGAAAACTGGACAAAAAGAACTTTTAAGCTTCTCTTAATTTATGTAATTCAGTCAAAAAATGTCGTGAAGATTTCGGAAACATGTCATTCTATAGAGAATTAGTTGTTGTCGCCCCGTGCAATCAAAATAAGCTTTTATTCCTCGGATTTTGGATCCTGAAACACTAGGTTTAAGGTTTTCTAGAGAACTTGGATGTTTGGAATGCTGTGAAGATTTTATTTTCCTCAAATCCTTGTTGGAAACAATTTTCTCTATTCAAGCTACTATTCATATTCTTTATGCGAGTTACCATGATTTTACAGCAGCAAGAAAAAGTTTGATTTTTATTTTTTTTCATCGACGTTTCAGTAAAATAATATTGTAAAGCACAAAATATAAGGATCTTTGAAATTAATGAGAGAAGGAGGTTGAACGCAATTATTGAATGTCGTACTTAAAAATCTAAAATTGAAATAATAAACTGTTCAACTAGTCATCTACCTCGCATATTCCAAGCTTTTGAAAGATTGATGTTTTGATATCTGACACATCTTTTTTGTCATTATCACAGAACGTAGAATCAGATTGGACTACATATTCATTTTTCAAAAGAGGCGAAAACAATGAATTTATGACAACGTAATAAAACAGTTGAAATAACTCATGTATATTTTCATGTTCTAATAATTCGGTAAATAAATTCTATGGTTGTTTTGAAAAAATTCAATGAAGGTCTCGTTAATTCGATGAGATTTACCTTAAACATCATGAAACTGTATCTGTCTCACATAACAACGACGTTATCAATAAATTTTGTCAAAACAAATCAGAATATTTATTCCTTATTTTCCTTTTTCGCACAACCAACAATAAGTTTTCATTATCGAATTAGAATATTAAATTTAAACGAAGTAACATTCGGTCGTATTCAAAAACACTTGATGAATTGTTTTGAGAGTGATTTTTGGTTAATAATTAGATTTAAGAAAGTTGAGTTTCTGGAAAGAAGATTCATCTTTAAATATTATTTTATAATCAGTCTTGAAGATAGATTCGTATAATCATTATTTGTGAACTCATCCATGTGACATATAAACATAATAAATTAAGTTCATGTTTTATTTGTACAACAATCTTTTGTTTTTAGAATATGTATCCATGTACGAACACAATTAAAGAAAGATTTCTCTTGACTGTCATATTTATTAAATAAACAAAAACTGTTTTTGTTTAGAAAAGCTTTTATCGATATTTTTTATCTTTCGGACCAAATCGATTCTTAAATTTGTCGGTCTTAGGTCGTTTTGGTAGAGTATTGAACCGTCCTGATCGAGCTGATTTAGCCTCATTCATATACCGGCTTTTATCATCATTTATCAATGACAGCACATCGTGAAGATTTGTTGAGAGATAATAGGGTCGATGATCTCTTTCGAGTGTAGGAGAAATGACTGAGTATAAGTAATGATTCATGCTAGTGTAGGTTTCTTTGTATTCCATAGGTTGTTTTAAAAGTTGGATAATACTAGACTTTCCTGTCCTCTTTCTGCCGATGATAAGTATATTCAAAGATGAAAGATCTTTAGTATCATTCTCTTTTATTGATCGGTAAGAACCTCTCCAAGCAAAGGTATTTTCAAAGTTTTCAGGAACAGGTTGGTCATTATTGTGTAAATACACCCAAGAGTCGATAGCTTTGTTTTGAG